ACAGCGCGATTAATACGCCCAAATAGTTGCGGTGAACGGCCCGCAGGGGGGTTTCTGTCATTTGTTCACTATTTATTGTTATAATTATGCTTTTTATATCTTTAATTTCCTTCGGATATTTTATTTATTCTTTTATTTATTCTTTCAGGATCCGGGGAACTATGCGAGGCGGGGTGAGCTGGTTCTCCGACCAAGGAAATGCTGTCTGTCTGTCTGTCTGCCCGAGAGGGCTAGAAGGGACCGAACGGGAGTAAAGGCGGAGGAGTGGGGGAGGAGTGGAGGAGAGGAGAGGAAGGGAGCCCAGATGCGGGTATGATATCGAAACGATCGTTCGGAATCATCAATCACAGCTAACCTGATATTATAGCACAGCCGCACCCCGTTATCCTGATAGCGGGGGGTCCGGAACAACTAGGAGGGAGGGGGTCAAAAAACAGACCTCATACCCATCACTAACTATGTCTTGACAAATTCTCACAGGTACTGTTGACACCTCTCAGGGAACATATTCAGAAAATATACATGCAGCCCTGCCCCTGAAGTTCGCCCTCTTTACCCCACCCCCGGTGGTAGACGTCGTGAGTTTGTATGATACCAACGCTAATATTTTACACTTTGCTGATGATAGTTACTCCTCTAGCCTCGATCACCCCTTGTGCTAACACTGCCTCCTCTACTCCCCGAGCATACTTCCCCTGGGAGCTATCAGATGACCAGGTTAAATTCCTCTGGAAACGGGGGGGAAGATTTCTCGGGATGCCATACGAGTTCGAAACCCCTTTTCTGGTTCTACGGGCCAAGCCCGGTGGTGGTTTAGAGTGCCACAGATTTTGTAAGGTTCAGCGGGGTTTCTGGCTCAGCATGGTCGGATAGCGGGGTCCGACGGTACTGCTGTATTGGTATGGGAGAGTGCTTGAGCACTTGTAGAGCTTGGTTCGGCATTTTTCTCTTCTCCTCCCCCTTGGCTCCCGTGGGGAGGGGAACTAGATCCCAGCCAGCAAGCAGTCCATGTCTGCCCGGCGGTGACCAAGCAGCCAAAGCTTGCAAGCCCCCGAAAGCGAACACGGACCAGCGGACTGGGGGTAAGTGACCGGAAACAAAGCGAGAAGCCGGGCGAGATGCAGTGAACGCCACACATGCTGTAATGGGAAAAAAACGCCGACATGCATGACGAGAAGGTTGGACCACTCCTGCTGAAGGAATAGCATCAAGGGGAAGGTGGTTGAAGCAGCAGCGACAGCACGGGATGGGCCACCTTCTCCCACCGACCAATTCATACCTCAACTCAATGAGGAGAGGAGGAGAAAGAGATGAGAGGGGAAAAGGGAAAGGGGAAAAAGCAAAAAAAATCCTGACCAATACATGCCCGATATGGGACAGCGGCCTACCTACCTTCGGGGTGACTTACATACAATAGAGGTCAAACTACCGTACTGTACAGTTGCTAGACTGTATCCACAACTCTACCTGGAGTACAGTTTGCTAATATCGTACAAGAGCGGTACCTCTTTCTTTTTTCTTCTCGGTCCTTCCGTTCTCGAAAAGGGAGACAACGCATCTGCACGGAGATAGATGGTGTGTCTGATATCTGCAGAACGGGATTCATAGAAAAATGTCGTGTATCTTGGGGACACACACGCACCTACATATTCGGTATCATACCATACCATGTCACTTACGGTTCACATCAAAGCGGTATTACGGTAGATGAACACACTTGCCTTAGCCTCCCTCCTCTATCTCGGCGCGACCCAGCTGCTATCTCAACATACTACATCTGCCCCCCACCCCACACGCAAGGCGCCAATACGGATTTTCATTGAGGTCATGTGACTGAATGAGGGGCGCTCGGGTATTGATCAGCAAGAGGTGTCAACCAGATCCGCGGGAAGAACTGAATCGGATACCAGTATATGCGCCTGCCTGGCTGAATGGGTGGACCATAGAGGTTTAATAAATGTATTTTATAAACAGACTGATAGGATACAAGTACTGCACTGTAGGAGGCCCTTTCGATATTCACAATCATCGCAGACCACTTTCGGGTTGGGGTCACCTCTCTTAACGGAAATTACTTGCTGAGGATAAAGTAAGCATTTGTTACGTTAATTGCAATATGCGGTAGTTAGATATTCACCCAGTTTTGCGTGAAAACGCTCGACGGGATTGCAGATCCAATTCAATGTGGACAATCCCGCGAGATCGTTGACGAGGCACCGCCGACCCGGCTTACGGCCCCGCGAAACCTTGGTGACCCGGGGAATCGAAGGATCCCAGAACCGGCAATAGTAAGTAAGTATTTAGAGAATTCCCCTGGCTCATAAAGAGGGTCCGTTTGACTCTCAGGCGCCATATTAGTACCCCAGTGATAGCGGGGAGCAATACCAGTAGTCTTGACTCCTAATGGCCAGGATACCCAGTGAAAGGGTTGTGCAGGTAGCCATGCGTTGCTTGATATGTACAGTACAGTATGATACAGGTTATCCCCAAGTGATCCACACACTTTCGTAGGCTAGATGCGATCGAGGAAGAAAAACGAAAACTATTGTTGATACGAGTGCCGTCAAGCCCCCATTCACGGCCAGCCGTGCGGTATTATACTACAAGCTATACTAGTAGACTACTTACTGGTCGAGAATATACTGCGCAGTGGAGTACAGCACCCAACTCGAGTGATACTTCTCGATTCTAAAGCGTTCTGCCACGACCTCCTTCATCACAGTGACAAAACAAAAGACTCTCTCCATACATGCAAACAAGGGTATGTTACACTAGCAATCATAGCCAAACCCATACTGCCTACTCAACCTCTTGTTATCATATTATGTACAGTACTAGTACTGTACAATACACAACATAGCACGATAGGCTACCGGTAATTGAAACCGCCACAGCCAAGTCCCCAGAATGATGTTACCACTCACCCACCTTCTCTTCCTCCTTCCCCCTCCGCTCACCGGCCTTCATTCATCCATCCGTTCACTCATCGGCTCGCTTATCTCATCCTTTTCAAGGGGAAGAGAAAAAATCTAGGTCGAGACCCCGATTTTCCACGATCACAGTGTCTCACTTTACACCTAGCGCCGATTCGTCGCACTGAGTAAACGGGTCACAAGATCTGTGTTGCCGTCAGTAAGTTAGAATGTTTCCCTGAAGAACAGTACCGGTACCTGTACTGTGCCAGGCATGGGTGGCAGGTGGGCTACAATGGTGCAACGGTGTCGCAACGCACATGCATGCCAAAGATCAATGATCAAATATCACCTCGTTGTTATAGTCTACCTCTGGCTATTGCATTTATTGAGTGAAAATTACCCACGGCTATTGCTGCAGGTTTCATCTACCTTCATATTGAATTCGAAGGCTTAAAGTTGTTCGAATGTTAATCTTTTCGGACAAGAAATGCGTGTTCTGGATTTTGGGGGCGTTGCGGTGAACAGCCTGCAGCGTTGCATGGTGTTGCGCCATTTTTGACTACCACTAGTACAAGTACTCGAGTAGTAGTACAGTACAATACGGGGAAAGTACCCAGTTACCTGGTCAAATTGGATTCAGAGCTTTGTCAGTATGAGGGATATATCACTAGCATACACAGGCAGCCCGTGGCACATGTATACGGTTAAGCTGGGCATCTCCCAGGACTCGCCACTCTTGCCCCTCTTGTTTGTCATCTATGTTAGGCCTTTGCATCCCGACAGAGACTTCCAAGAGACTTTTACGTTATCCTACGTGGACAACTTCCAGATATCAGTGGTGTCCAATTCGTTGTATAATAACACTGTGTTGCTGGAGAGGGAGGCTGGGGCAATGATAGAAAGAGCCCATGGCCTAGGGTTGACCTTTAGCTTAGCCAAGACGGATTTAATGCACTGGAAGAGAAGGAAGAAAGGTCCTTGGCCTAAGCAATCAATAACCATACAAGCATATGTTGTCAAACTGGTAGGTACCCTAGTGAGGTGGTTGGGATACTAGTTGGCGGATAATGGGGAAATAGCACCTCACTTCACTAAGTAGCTGGTGTTGGCTCAAGCGGCTTTCTGGAGGATTCAACAGTTATCAAAGTGTAACAATCCCCCTTCAGATGGTTGGTTCTTGGTAACAGGGAATGATACTTCTCTTCTTCTTTCTTCTTCTCGCCTTACGATAGCACTAGGCCTCTGCCTATGTTACCAATAGTACAAGATCTTTGTCTTCTACCAGGAACGCCTATTGTAAGCTTTCTCTAACTCTTCTTTGTGAAGAGCTTTCTCGGCATAATAATAATAAAGGTTGTTATAATAATAAAGAGTATAAAGGTGTTTTATATTCATTAAAGTAATAAATAGGAAAAGTATTTAGAACAAAGCATGAAAAACCTATCCTCTTCAGCCATACTAACCTCCTTATATAGTGTTCTTTCCACCCTAAGTCATGTGATCCAAAGTGGTCACATGCGTGAAACTAAGTTATAATAAACTAGTCATATGACTAAAGTAGTCACATACTCAAAACCCATGACCTTGTAGTAAGGTCATATGCGAAAACTCATAAACCAATCATAACATAATAAACAAGTTATATGACTCCAGGTAGTCATATGCGCAAAATCCATGACCTCATAATGAGGTCATATGCAAAACATAAAT